TTCCATAGGCACAGAATGAACCCATTTCAGTCCCAGGATGAATAAGAACTCAATATTCATCACACAGATCCACCATACTTTGCAAACAAGACTGGAAGAAAAAAAAGCCCTTTCATGAGTTATCCATATGATCTTTCTGATGAGCAAAGCATGAGAAAACAGTTCAAAGCTCTCAGAAAGCCATATGTATACTTTTACAGAAGACATTTACAATTCACTACTGAGGTTCTAGAGCCAGCATAACTCATTTAGCAGTCTGTATACAGAGATGCAAATATGCTAGGTTCAGACATTTCTTCAGCACCTTCATAAAATTCATTTCAAAGTACATAAATATTCATACTCTGAATAGTCATCTCAGCATGTGAAGCTTTTATTTTTATATGAAAATACCAATTCATACAAAGAGTCTGAAATAAAGTAAAAGCGTATTAGTTCTAAAGTATGCACACAAACACATGCAATGTCTTTACGTAAACACTTTTGAACTTCTGGGTGATTAACACTTGATTACAAAAAGAGATCCTTAAAAAACATCTTCACTAATCATGCAGTAATTTTTAACATACTTGAAAACAAGTCAGGTTTTACTGCTCTTAGACAACTTGATCCACACCTGAAAGTGCAAGGTGGCTTTCAATTTGTGCCATGGTTATTGTGTGTCTGTGTTGCCACAGAAAAGGGCCATGGGTGAGGGCAGTGTCCAACCAGCCCATGTGCTGGGCAGGTTGAGCAAGAGTGTCTGGGCTGAGCCTCTTGCTGAGCTAGCACTACTCTGTCACAGGAGCACCCTGTTAATGAAGAGATTAGGGGAGGGCAAAATGGGGAAAGCTAAACAATTACTGTGCCTGTGTCAGGGGGCTTCAGCAGGGAGCATAGGAATACAGAAGGGATGTGTGTTTTGAGAAATGGTGCAGCAGTGTCTGTCTAGAAGTGTTTAAGGTTCCAGATGCAAGTCTCTCATGTCAGTCCTTTTAAGGCTGGTGAGAGAAGATGCAGGTTTCCTACAGAACAAGAGGATGCAAGAGTCCTACCACACAGCACAATCCAAGGCCTATGTTGTTATATTCATAACTGCATCCATGTTGCTATTTTCTTTTTAAAACACTCAAATATTCAGAAATGAAGATGTTTGGACAATGAAGGCTCTCTCAGAGAAAATTTAAGGGACTAATATCACTCTGCTTAAAAAAAAAAAACAAACTAATTTTACTATAAGCATCACGATATTGACATGCAGATTTTTAATCACGCTGGTTGCAATTAAACAAATCAGTGATCAAATCCACAGAGAAGTCAGTTTTCATATACACCACATTAAGACAGACATTAGACAGAATTTGGCATGCTGCCGACAGAGAAGCCTAGTTCTGGAATCATGTAGTATTAAAACTGGGATTACTAGAAAGCAACAAGCTCAAAAAGGGGGTTAAAAAAACATCACAGGAACCAAATTTTACTTTATATAAAAGCAAGCAATTATATTTCAATATTTGGATGGCAGTTGAAAATGCTTTTTTGGCACGCAACTGCTCTACAAAGCTGATATTGTATGTAACTGGAACCATTTAAAAAAAAAAAAAAGAATTGTTACTAAAGTCAAAGACAGTAATTGCAAGCTGTGGGATCTGTGCTTAGACAAAAGGGGGACAACTGAATAAAACTGTTATAGATACAAACTTACAAGCACACTCCATAATACTCTTACATCTTAAGGAGGGGAGAGAGGGGAGGAAAAGGAAGGAGAGAAGTACAGAAGGCAGAACAGCAAGAGCTATCAGGTGCTATAAATTCTTGTTTCAAACACAGACCTTAGACAGGAGTACATGACTTTGGTGCAGAACAACTGAAATAACACAGTTCCAGCTTTTGTTGATGCGTAATCCACTGGAAATGAAAGGCCTGCCTGAGAGACTGTCTACCCCAGGTTTACTAGCTAGCAAAACACTGAGCTTGATAGGTTCAAAATAATCTTGAAAAGCAACTCATCAAGCTTATGGCTATATTGAAGAACTTTTAAGGAGTCAGCCTTCCAGGCAGAGTTCCAAGAAAAGGTACACTTGCAAAAAGCTGTCACTTACAGATATTTTAAAAACACTGAAAATATTTGTATTGGCTCATACCTCTTGTATATGAGCACTTCACTCATTCTGTAAATTTAGAAAAACCTCCTTGCACAAAAACATGCTTGAGAAGTATTGTTAGTTTGTGCTGAAAAGTCGTTCGCTCATTTAGTTTTGCTAAAAAAAGTATAACGTACATATTACAAACAAGTAAAATACAAAGAGGAAGAGTTATAGCAGACCACCTATGAAATTTTCTTCAGTAGCTGGAACTGTCTTTTGTCAATGAACCAGCAGCCAAAGAGCTGTTTCTGAAAAAAGCATGTAATTTTGGCAAACTGATCTGATAGTCTATCTGGGAATTTCTGCCAGAAGTGCCATGACTTCAGTATGCTATTACTTGCAAAACATGTTTCTTCAGCCATAAGGTGGGAGGGGAAAAAGATGAGTGATTGCTGTGCTGTATCCTTCCAAGCTGGTTCTTCCCATTATACAACTCCTAATCCAAACAATTTAAGCACTCAAGTAAAAGTTACTCATTTCTGTAAACATTTCCAGGAGCAGGACCTAAGCATGCATGGCTTACACCAAGCATATACTAATGGCTAGAGCTAACCTCAAGTTTACCTCTGTTTAAACAGCATAAGTCAAAACCAGAGCTGGCCAAACTCAAGCTTAAGTCCTAATACAAGCTGATAAAGTGAATATTGATATAAACCACTTGGTGACTATGCATCCATCTCAATCAAGCATTCTTAATGCAATATTGTATCATACGACACTTTTCCCAAAAGCACGAATGATGCTTCGCAATTATTAGAAAGAGCATGGTCTTAAACCACAGCAGGGATCTCTTTACTTTAGGGTAAGGTAGTGGTAGAAAACAGAAACACAACCCAGCCTGTTTGTTTGTTTTAAATGGACTTCATCACTGCACATCCAATTAACACTGGAATGCACAAGATATAGCACCGAAGCAAATAGAGGCCTTAAATTTAAGAGCAACTCTCAGTCTGCTCTGTTAGAAGCTGTGTATCACAGTCACTGACAACATATTTATCAATAGATTAATATGACAAAGCAAAAGGACTTTTAGGCTATGATACAAAGGCTTGTAGCATTAGAAAGAGTCAAAGCAATCTGCAAAAACATAATGCAAAGCCATGCCATTTAAATTACTCTGCAAAATGTAGACATTCATTAGCATAGAAAAGTTTCACAGGAAAACAATGACAAAGTAAAAGTCATCGTATTTTCATATCCTAATTAATTAAATATTCCAAATGCATTTAATCTCTTATTATAACCATAGGGGGAGACAGACCAAACTCTTGAAGTTCTGAAAAGCCAGGTCATTAGCGTGCCAAGTCATTCCTCAGATCTTCTCCTTATATACAAATATACATTCCCAACTTACAACATGTGTAAGTAAAACTCTGCATCCCCCTTCTACCCCCTCCATTTCTCCCTCTTTGGAAGGCACTTGCTATCTCTTACTTCTCTATTCTAAAAGTCTTATTAAATGCTAGGAAAAACTCATTTACTAGGGAACAAAATCTAAAAGTGCAGAAGCCATTTTGCCAAAAGCCTGAGTTAAACACCCCAGTCCCCCTAAGAAGTAGAACAATTGAGTTGAAAATTAGATTAATAACATTCTTGCACATACACATGAAAATCCACACATAGTTTGTAGTCTTTAAGTTCAAATGACATTTCTAGCCATTTCTTGTCTTATGAAACAAGAAAGGGATTCTGATGTTTACATAAGGTTCTTCTTGCTTAATAAATCTTAAATTGAAACAGATTTTTTTTAAACAATTACCTTCTTCAGAGTTATCATACTACAGGATATTAGGAAAAACCAGACTCTCCTGTTGCTTTTACCCACATCTGACTCCAATCTTAATAGTTTAGCTATTAACCCTGTAAGATCCACACACATGCACACCCCTTGCCCAGTTATGTTAAAATTGTTGTATTACTGATCTGGGCTTACTCATTACAAAACCTTTTGTTATACAGAGAGCAGCTCCGTGGACCTTGATTTACAGGACACAGTTTACCGTGCTGTTGGCAGAACTGCACCAGCCCGGCTCATCCGGGGCTCTGCAGGGAGAAATGAGAGAATCTGTCACAGCATCAGAGTAATTGCTCTCTCCTTCTCCCTTCCTTTTCGCTCTCTGTCCAAGCCCACTCTGACCTAATCACATCTTGGGATGAAAACCTGGCCACTGTGATATACCTGTGTTGTAAAGGAGTAGTACAAATCACGTAATTCCTCCTAGAAATAATAACAATAACTAGAGCTAAAGGGGGAAAACCCCTTCCTGCTCGAAAACCTCAGTACTCACTCTGAGTGTCGCGCAAAACATGCAGTTTAAAGACCTCAGTTACCAGCTAAACAACGATCACAGGGAACTTCGCTGCAATAACGCTAGTCATACATTTCTGCCACCTTTTAGGTTTTAGCATGTAGGGAATGGCATTGTTAACCTTTAAGTCCGCTGTATAAACGTTTCTCAGCGCGCTTGTAAAATACCCCCCGCTGCGTTTCCTCGCTCTCCAGCTGATGGCATTCGGAAACACTGGCGGGTGCTCTCTTTTGCCTTTCTTGGCCACCCCGCTGGGGGACAGTCAGAGATTCCTGCCCAAGGCCAGAGCCAACAGCCCCGGGCTCGGACCGTAGCGAAGGCTCCCGGGCTCAACCCAGCCGGGTCGGTTGATAAATGGTGGCTGCTGGAGTTTGAAATCCCGCGGTGGGCATAAATATTCTGGGAGAAGGGGCTCGGGGAGGGTCCATCGCCCTTTCAGAGCTCTCTTCACGGAGGAAGGGAAAAAAACCCACATACTTCGACGACGTCCGTGCTGCAGCCGCGGGGAGGTGCGGGGGACGAGGTACCCTCAGTAACAGCGAACAGTGCGGAAGATGCTCCCGGGATGGCGGACCGAGATTTCCCCCCCGGCCAGGGTCCCCGCTCGGGGCAGGACCCAGAGGCGGACACTTCGCTCAGGATAAGGGAGGAGGCGGAGGCTGCCTTGCAGGAGCCAGTTGTCACCCACTGACAGGCAACAGCTGAGCTCCCGCATCTGAACCCTCGCTCAGCCCGGCGGCCCCGGCGCGCCCCTCCGCCGGGCGCACCGAGCCGGCACCGCGGCGGCGCCGCGACACCTTCCCTCGGGAGTCGCCGCGGGGCTCGGCGGAACTCCCCGCGCCCCCCCTCCTCCCCTGCTCTGCCAAGTCCGCAGCCCCGTCCGACAACTCCGCGCAGGACAGCGCCGGCTCCGAGGTCGGGCGGCTCCTCGCGGTCACGCCCTGTAGATCCAAGCCCCGCGTAGGGCGCAGGACCCCCACCGCACCGCGGGAAGTGCCCCGCCACCAGGGGCACAGTGCTGCCCGCGGACGGAGCCCCGGCAAACCCGCCGGGCGTCCCGCCGCAGGCTGCCCGTCACGCCTCACCCCGGGGAGCCGCCACTTACCCTCCCCGCAGCGCGGCCGGACCACGTCGACGTACTCTCTAGCGGAGAGCGGCGGTGGGGTCCGTCACATAGACGGCGAGGGAAGCGGGTACGCGGCTCTGCCGCACGGAGTCAGCGCCGGCGGGGGACGCGCATCTCCGGCCGCGCCGCGAAGGGACCGCCCGCTGCCGCCTCCGCCGCGACTGCCCAGCCCGCCCGCGCTCCCCGCCCTAATGGGGCTCGGCCGCCCCGCGCCCGGCCCGCGACGGCCGCGCTCCGCCGCATCCATTGGCTGTCGCCCGCCGCGCCCACCAATCGCCGCCGGGCCAGGCCGGGCGCCGGCTCGCGGGGCTCGGGGGGCAGGGCTCGGGGCGGAGCGAGGGGCGGGGCCCGAGCAGACCCCGCCCCAGGGCCCAGCGGCGCGCGGAGGAGGCGCTGCCGTGTGGGGCTGGGGGGGACCCGGGAAAACTTGGGGGAACCCCTTTTCCCCCCAGTTTGGGATGGCTGGGGAGCAGGCGGAGGACAGGCAACCTCCTTGCTCCGTTTCCCCCGGTCAGACAGAACTCTGGAGGCGCCAGTTTCCACCGAGGGAGCAGGAGAGGGAAAGTTAATGGAAAATTTTTCCCGTTGATCTGTGCGGAGGTGGGCGATGAAGCCCGTTCCGGTGGGATTCGCGGCCCACGGTGCTGTCGGTGGGCTGCGCATACCCACCGATGGCAGCCGGGGCACTGCTGGATAGAAGGGTGTTTGGGTCCGGCAGCCGCCAGGCTTAGGGAAGCTCCCGGAGGGGGCTGGCAGGGGTGGACACTTCCTAAAGCAAAGCAGCCCTGGCGTTAACATCGAGAGGGTCGCAAAACGAAGGTGGCAGGCATTAAAGGGACGCTGAAGCAGCGAGGCACACGTTTAAATCCCTTTGCTATGTTGTTACCGGTACTTTCGGTATCTGTTTCAGCGGCCGGAGTCTGCAGCCCTTGTTTCAGCGTCTTGCACCTAACTCACTTTAAGCAACGTGGATTGAGCTCCTGGTTCTCTAGTGGTCTCGCAGTGTTTAAAACCCCTGTGGAAACATCAAAGAATGAGTAACAATGAAGGCGTTTAACTCAACGTTATATTTTTTCTGTAGATGCAAATTGGAAGATGAGATAATTTTGCCAGAGTGACTTCTAAGCAGTCACAAACTCTCCCCACTTGGTGAAACAAATATGTTTGAAACCTCAAAAGTTGTTTTATATAAAGCTGAAATCTGGGCTGTTATGTGGCAGTGTCTTCGTTTTCTAGGAAAGAAATTACATGAGGAAATGGAAATGACAATTTTCCCATCTTGTTTTGAAACGTATTTGGTTTTCCTGTGTTAGCTGAGTAAGTTTGGTATCTGTATTCCAATCTGGTCAAAATCATCTTTCTGCGTATGAAAAAATAAAAATGTAACTCACAGAAAACAACTTCAGACTACAACCCAAGGCTACAACTTTGCTACAGCAAGAGTGTTAAACCTCTTATCACCTTAAAAGTTTCAACTGCAATTCAAGCCCTGGGTGCTCTGCTCTGCCATTTCCTTGCAGCCTGGATGTAGTATCACCATCACATTGCTGAGCAATTCCTTTTAAATCCTAACCAAGTCTGAAAATAAACACTTCCAGATTTCATCTACGTGGAAGTTTTCAGAGAGAAAGGATAGACACTTGTACAGGCAGGTGAAACCTCAGAGAGTCAGCTTCTATCACCCTTTCCATCAGAATTAGTTTGGATTTCAACTGTAATTTAAGAAAAAACACAGAGGATGAAGGAAGAGTGTGAAAAAAAAGAAATGTATTGTAAAATATATAATAAAAATAAATTAAATCGTAATATTGTAAAAATTAATTATAAAGGGAATGCAAAGAAAAGGTGGCAAAGATGGCAAAAGGGCCATCTCTCCCCTTAGAGTTGTTTGTTCCTTGTCCTGTGTTTTTCCCTGCCACCTACTCAAGCATTTCTGTAACACTTATCACAAAGATCTAAATATGTTTAGGCTCTGCTGGCCGGATTACATGATTTCTGCCATTTACTTCTTCCCACTTCAGGTTCCAAAGGCATAGGAAATAAGATGCTTGGCTGTTCAATAACCTTGTCAAAGGTGTTTGAAGTCATATATTAGCAGATCTGAATCTGGAATGAAAGAATTTATGGCCAATGCGCTCTTTTAAGTTGTATATCTGTTTATCTGATCCTCACTTACAAATGCCTCTAATTAAGCTATAAACTCTGAGTTTCTACTTAACCATATGGGTAGCCTGGGAAGTTTGCTACAGTAATGTAATTTACCCATTCTACAGCCATGTCTGCAATGCAAATTCAGCAGAGCTGCTTTAATAGTGTTATAACCTGCCCTGTTTTTCACAACATGGACAGAAATAAAGCCTGTCCAAGTTACCAACTGTAGTCCTGAGGAAAGAGCACAGACAGTTTTCTCTTTGTATATACAGGACTTTGTTTGATGTCCAAGAGAAAACACAGCTACTGCAAGCCTCAGGAAATAAGATAAAAAAAATACAACCTGCAAATGCAATTGCTGAGGAAAGGAATATAATCTTCTCCATCAATTTTTTTGCACTTTCTATAGGAACTACTTAGCTGTCCTGTGATTTTGTTGCATACTGATAAGCAAGTTTAAAAGGGGCTTGAGTCACAGCTTTGTTACTGTAACATACTAAAAGCCCCAAATTCCATGAGACTATTGCCCCTTTTATGAAAAATGTTTTCTAAAATATGTTCTATATTTAGGATTTTTCTCCAGAAATAATGCTGACAGTTATCATTAATTTCATGTGAGGAATGCAATTTTTGGCCCATGTTGCAGGAGGTTAAAATTTAAAAATGTGAAATATGAAAAGTTGTCGTGTGATTTTGAAGTAGGAGGAAAGCACCCACACAGATTCATACGGATACCCTGGAAGGAAATGCCTAGAGCAATCCACCAGACCTTCTTTTCCAATCCTACCTCTTCCAGTGAATATTTTAAATTTTTCTTATTATCTTTTAAGTGTCACATGTTTTCATATTGAAATCACACCTACAGAGTTACAACTGTAGCTGCAGGTAAGTGAACAAAAGTAGCTCCTTAGCTTGGTAGCATAAATGTAGTCTATCAGTGATGTAGCTTTGAGGCTAGCCTGGCTTGGAAGTGGTGGCTGAACCAGGTTGGAAAGGCCCTCAGAGGTCCTTTCCAACCCTGTTCTTGTCATCTAGAGCTTTTGGATTCAGCCAGTACAGAAGATACAGGTCAGACTATGTTGTCTAGTTACTAAAGCAGTGTAAGTACAGGGAATAGAAATAGGCCGTCCCTGGAGATGGAGAGTTTGAGTGAAGCATAGCAGTCTTGATACCGACATTAGGCCACCCCACGGGTGTCTGTGGTGGCTTTACTGTGAATTAAAACAAAATTTGTGTTGGATTAGGGGCAAGATTTGAATTTCTTCAAGGTTTTGGTTTAGCTTTTCTTTAAGGTGTGAAGCACAAACCATCTTCATTTGAGCATTTTAGGAGAGGAACAGTGCTTTAATTTCTGCTGCTCACTTTCTATAATGCTGTACATTAGATTTTTACTTTCTCTTTTTATTCCTTAGTCTTTCTTCAGGAAGGGATCCCACAATGTGTGCAGTAGCCATTCTTTTCCTATTTGTATCTCTAAGTAGCAGTAGGAATGCCTCAGTTTCCCTGTTTGCATGCAAAGACTAAGCAAAGGCTTAGTTAATCTTTATGCTGCACTTGAGTTTTTCAGACAAAAATCTGTATAGAAGCACAGAAATTATTAATATTAACAAGACCACCTTGTTCAAGTTCCGTGTTGGGTGTTTCTGGGCTGCTTCACAGAGACACGTGGATAGAAACAAAGCCTGTTCAAGTTACCAAGTTACTTGGAATGGAGTCATGTGGACTGGCAGAAGCAATTAGGCACAAGTTTTCAAATGCTAATTCTTATAAAACCCTCTTTTTTCTTTGGCTTGTACCCAGCAATATGTTCTTTATCAGTTGTATAGATTTGGCTTAAAAAAACCCCAGTCTTAATAATGAGTTTTCAAAATGTCAATGGTTAAGAGAGTTGTTTTCCCCACAACCTTGGCAGGTGTACTCTTTCCTGTTCTGTATCCACATGAGACTCAACAATCTACATCAGACATACTCTGAGTGCTGGATGGTTTTGCAGGGTAGTTGGAAACCTGGTCACTGGTCAGTCAAAGCAGGGACAGACTGAGTACTATGACTCCCATCACAGCATCCAGGTTTGATTTCTTTTCCCAAGTAAACTTGAGTGTAGCATGTATGGAGAGAGGGAATTGCATCCGGCTACAGAGTCAGGACAAAGCTGGAGTGCATGCTTGTATTTTGGAGAGGGGATGGCTTCTCAGACTTTCCTGTTCAAGTATTCTTCCAGTTTACGGTATCTTCTTTTCTGATTTATTTTTGCAATGGTCCTTCATTTTTGTGTAAGATCTCTCCTGCTGATTTTGCCTGTTTTGTTTGGTTTGGCCTTATCCTATGGCTCCATAACTTTTTCAGCTGTATAGTTGCTCCTAATCTCTGTTTAGAAGTCAGCTGAATCCTTGCATGGCCAGCTAAAAAAATATTTCTTATGGATTTCTTTCCCAGGCACCTTCACTGGTTGTTTAACTTTCTAAGTCCTATCCATCTCTGCCAAAATGTTATCCTTATATGAAGGCTTCCTGCTCTGCCTTTGATCAGAGTGCTCCATTGGTTCTTCTAGCCTAGTTATCTTCTATGGGCTAGGATAAAATGGGCAACTTCACTGAGATGAAAAAAATCAACATTTAGTTTACAATCCATTTAAGTAATCCTAGTCCTGGTTCCAAGATCTGCTGCAGTGCCTTGTGCTCCCTTCTGCCAGAGCTGGAGTCAGTCCTGTGAGCTGTAGTGACGTTTGTAGCAGCTCTTGGAAAACATCCCAACATTTCTGTAACTATTCCAGCCATGGATGATTGTATTCTGCCTTCTGAGTGGTCTCAGATGAAACTGGTTGTATTCAAGAAACGACGGAAAAACTCCCTGCATTTCTCTAGTTCCAGATGAATCCTCAGAAATTCAGTGGTTCTTCGCATATTCATTTTCTAGTTCTAGCAATCTCCTGTATGCCTATGAGACTACAATGGATTTTTCACTGCGTTGTCCCCAGGAGTGTGGCCATTTCATTGCCTGGAGGTGTTTCTGTTTGAACAGGAGACACTGAGATTGAACAACCTTCTGTTGTCCCCGTTTTGAGAGATGAAACAGCTTTGAGAGCATATGTCTGATCCCACATCCACTAAGACACTTGATGATTAGCCCTTTCATAAGATCAACCCAGATTTGTAACTACTACACAGAAAAAAACCCCAGCCTTGATAGGAGGCAATAAATATTATTTTGTACAAATATCTATAATGACTTTAAGTATCTTTTATTCTTATTAGATTCAGTTTACTTAAAAAATACACTTTGGGAAGTCAGGGTGTTAGAAGTTAAGGATAATATGCCACACCATTTGTCCTTTTCCTTCTCTATGATGGCACAAGTGCAAATCACAACCCTAACTTTATTAACTTTTGTTTCACTGTGTTACAGTTTTAACATTATT